CTTAAAATCGGTTTTAATAAATCGGTCGTCATAGTTGTAAATTTATTAAAACGCGAACGCGCTCCCCAAAATTTCATTACTTTACATTGGAACAAGCAGTGATGGGCACGTACCCGGTATATACCCGATTTATTAAAATACCCAAGGTATGTACTATGTACCAGTGGTGAGCACTATCGATAAGTTCAAAGTTTACAATAGTGCTCCCAACTGGTCCATAGTGCATAGTGCATAACTTGGGTATTTAACCAAATGTTAATAAATCGGGTATATACCGGGTACGTGCCCATCACTGGGAACAAGTCATACGGAGCGAGAGAGACAGCGCTACCATGCGCAATAGCATAACATGTTCCATTGTATCATGATTGAAGCCTTAAACCGTTTAATCAATGCTTAAACGGTGTCTTCGCCGTTAAAAAATATCCCATCTTTCAATGCATTCGGCACTGTATACCTACTTTTAGCGTAAAAATGAGATATAAAACAAAAGTATTTCTAATAAAATTATACATTATGTTACAATTAAGTTCTTCTTTTAATCACGGTGTGTCTGAACGAACTTTAAGTCACATAAAAATGCCGTCAAAAACTGATTGCAGTTTCTTGTTCGGGACCCTTTGGTGACCTAAAAATGATATTTTTCAAAATCCTAGCTGCTCCTCTTTTCGAAATTTTAATTTTTGTTTATCTTTAAGTCTACCTTTGACAGAGTACATATTTGTATACCGATTTTTATAATATTGGAGTATATGGTTAATGAGATTTGGAGAATAATTTTTTATACTGGGTTAGCCAAAAATCGCTTCTTTTAATAAAGCAAAAGCGTAAATTCATGATTTTGGCATAACACGCAAAAAATATATACCTATACCCACCCATGTTTTTTTTAGATATTTTTATGTTTATCAGGCTACAAAATGGAATAAGACTTTATAAGAAAAATTGATTTTGAATAAAATTAAATAAAATAACATTTTTTGAAGATAAATCTTTTTTGTGCATTATGCTTTTTACTATATAAAAAAGTGATTTTTGGCCACCCTGTATAAATCTAATGATGTGCTCAGTATGAAAACAGTATTCTCCAAGTCTCTTTAACAATATACTCCAATATTTTAAAAATCGGTGTACAAATGTGTACTCTGTCAAAGGTAAGATAAATAAAAATTAAAAGAATAAATAAGAATTTTCAAAAAATTTCGAAAAGAGGAGCAGCTAGGATTTTGGTAATTATCATTTTAAAGTTACCAAAGGGTCCCGAACAAGAAACTGCAATCAATAAAAATCGGTGTACAAATGTGTACTCTGGCAAAGGTAGACTTTGCGATAAACAAATAATTAAAAAAAAATGATTTTTTAACAAATTTTAAAAAAAGCAGTTAGAATTTTGGTAAATATCGTTTTTAAATCTTCAAAGAGTGCCGATCAAAAAACTTTAACCAGTTTTTCGTTCAAAATTGAAAACTAATAAAAAGCCTAAATTACAAAACATTTTAAATATTTTCTAAGCTTTATTTTATTTAATTTTATTAAAAATCTAATTTTTTAATAAAAGGTTAATAAGAATGCCATTTTGTAACCTGTTATGCCAAAATCATGAATTTACGCTTTTGCTTTATTAAAAATAAATAAATTTTTGGCTTACCCTGTATATATCAAATGATGTGAACAGTATAGAAAGTATTCTTTAAGTCTCCTCAATAATATACTCTAATTTTATAAAAATCAGTTTATAAATGTGTACTCTATCAGTTTTTGACGGCATTTTTATGTGACTTAAACTTCGTTCAGGCATGCCGTGTAATATTGACTGTGGGTTTGGTGTAAAACTGTGAATGCGCATAAAAAGTTATCACCTAAAGAAAATTATATTATGTCTCTCCTGGTTCTAAAACTCACATATATTTTATCATGAAAAAAATAAACCCCCCTCCCCCTAAGCCTGCTTACGTAATACTGGAACGCCCCAACATACGTATGAAAAAGCAAAAAATAAAACTTTAAATTTAACAATTTATGCCAATGCGTTACTCTGTTTTTTTAAATAAATTAGTAAACAATAGCTACAGTAACTGTGATAGCAATAAACGTTCAACGAATTATTTAAACAAGTAGGTATTGCAAACAAAATACAGTGTTTCTGTAAGTTCAGTTGCCAGTAAAGGTGGTCAGAAACAGATGACCTAGTAAATTGTCTGCTATAAGGAAATAGCAGCACACTGCCAGAGTACTGGTAGCGTACCAAACCGATATTCGATGTAGTTTCGTATGTACGTACGAAAGAACAGCGCACAACAGAACAAACGTGTTAAAATGTGTAATCGCGTTGAAACGGTGTCCAGCTTACGTGACCACGTTACTTTACCAATCTGGTCACCCACCCACATCATGCAATGCCGGCTTCATTGATATTTTCAGAATTTTAAATTTTTTCTATTCACAATGTCTATAAATAAATGTTTGTGGTGAGTGCTTCAAAATTGCCGATAATTTTCATGATAATTTTCGTAATAATTTTCATGACAATTCCAAAGTTTGAAGAACGAGTGAAATTTGTACGATTTTTTCAATTCGATTACACAGTGTAATTTACACTATTACCTAGAAATTTTTTATTTTTAAATTTTGCATCTCCATTGCTATCGGCACGCCCCCTTTTTCTCTGTGGCACGAGTTTTGAGACACCCTGTATTTATAAAATCTTATAATTACCTACATCATTCTAGAAATGACATCATCTGCTTCCGCGGGCATGCCTAGGCAATTGGTAAAAAAATAAGTGCTCTCATTTCGTTTTCTTAATATATGATTCAATATTTTTCCTCGTAAATAAAATTTAATGTCTATCATGGGCAAAGATAAATAATATAAATGTTTTTTTGGAGTAGAAATATTTATTTATCAAATATCATAAAATTGTTAGCACATAAAAAGGAAAAGTAATGTTCCTAGAAGAGCTCTACATACAGATTATAATCGATAATTATCCTATCTTTACCCTTACACTGTGAGGCTTACTATTGTAATATTTATTTTATTTTAATTTTATTTAATTTATATCATAAAGTTTTTTATTAAAAGAAAACAAGTATGTACTGTAACAGTACTAACATATTTATATTCTCTTATAATAAATCAATACATAATTTTAAACATGTATGGACATTAGGGTGTGTCATTTTTAGGCGATATTTTTTTTTTCGCTGTTATACCAGAAAATCTAATACTTTATAGAAAATAAAAAATTATGCAGCCGGGTAAAAGGTTCTAAGTGCAATAGCGGCTTAGCTCATTTAAAAATTCAATTTTCCATTGAAATAACACAGAAAATTTTTTTTGTTCGTTTTAATTAGATTTTTCGCTGTTAAAAACTTTTTTCCCTAAAAACTTTTTTATAGCTTTTGTAGGAAATTAAATATCTTTACAAAATCATCCCTTTGCTCAAAAATGGAATTTGAGGTCTATTTTTATAAAAGTTTATATTTCCAGCGCTATAACTCTGAAACTACTGGTTATACGGTCTTCGAGCAAAGGGATAATTTTGTAGAGAATTTAATTTCCTACAAAAGCTATAAAAAAGTTTTTAGGGAAAAAAAATTTTAACAGCGAAAAATCTAATTAAAACGAAAAAAAAAAAATTTTTGTGTTATTTCAATGGGAAATTGAATTTTTAAATGAGCTAAGCCGCTATTGCACTTAGAACCTTTTACCCGGCGGCATAATTTTTTATTTTCTATAAAGTATTAGATTTGCTGGTATAACAGCGAAAAAAAAAATGTCACCTAAAAATGACACACCCTAATGGACATCTTGACATGATTGAATGTAAAACATTTTAAACACATCATTTCGTACAACAATAGTTATGTTTAATGGTATGACTGGGGAATATTAAAACAATTATGATGATGCATATGCAATTCAATGTTAATTAAAGAGAAAAATGTGCGTTGTTTAACCTTACCTAAAATACCAATATTGCAGGGTTGGGATTTGCTAAATTTGTTGTTATTTTTAAGTTTTTTGTTGAATTTATTGGTAAAATACCGTTGCTTGCTTTTTATCTTTTTAAATCGTTATCTTATCAAAACTGTTACATAAACTACTAATTCGTTTGAAAATAGTGAAAATAGGCGTAGTAAATGTCTACAAAACCGTATGGTATGTAATTTAAAAATCTAATTTGCCTAAATTATGTAACCTTCGTTTTTACCTACATATTTTTATGAAAGAAAAATCTGTATTTTTAATTATACATTTTACCTACCTATGCAAACTAAAATTTATTTGAATATATACCTCGTGGTATATTTTGATAATTTTAAACAACAAATTTTATTGTTTGGCGTTTTTGTATTAATTAATATTCCAATACATAACAATTGAGGGCCTTAGAATAAAAGGGGTATAAGCAAGTAATAAATACAAAAAAAGATTATTTTTATTGTTAAAAACAATAAAAATAATCTTTTGTCCTTTGTAGCTGCATTTATGCCACTTTTATTCTAAGGCCCTCAATGTATAGTGCTATAATTTTAATCATATATTTTTAATACATGTCCCACAAATACAGTGTAATAAATTATATTTTTAGTTCCTTAAAGTACTAAGTATTGCTATAAAATTGTAAGCATTGAAAATAAATCATTATATATTTTTTAAAAGGGCACGTCTAAAACATTAAAATACTTTGCTTAAGTTCAATATTTAGACTCGTGTATGTTTTTATGTGCCAAATAAAGGATGTAGGCTTGACTAACTTCTTATGACGTCGTTTAACGCAGAGAAAACAATAAAATTCTCCCTATTGAACATTTCTTAATACAACAAAGAGTTGTCTGCAATATACCAAATTCCTTTTGTATTAGTTTTACAGCGTATTTATAGAAATTACCGATATCGAGTCTTATCTATCTATAGATTAAAAACAAGTGTTTACTAAATGGATTATTTCCATATGTGTAAAGTGTAAAAATTAATTTGATTTTTGTTTTCAGTTGGTTCCGTGCATTATGAACCAAGACCAGAAAATAAGATACAAGTTAGAACTAACATGAGTCAGAGAGACAAAGTAAATGAATTCGAGTTAGGACGTATACGAGTCCTACAGGAAGAACGTCTACACATCCAGAAAAAAACTTTCACAAAATGGATGAACTCATTTTTATCAAAGGTAAACTTTTTGTTTCTTAAAATACCATCCTATATTGTTTGAAACTAGAAAAATGCCCAAATATAAAATTAAAAATGAAAATTAGAAGTACGTCAATTTTAGGGTCATATTTTCATTTCTTGCACTTAACTTTGGTTAAAGTTCATATAATCCTTTCTAACTTTTTAAGCCTTATCCTGTTAATTTTTGTTTAAGTATATTGTCTTAAGCCTCATCTATCTATAATATCATTGCAATTTACATTCATGACTAAAACTAAACTATACACTAGGGTGTCCGTTATTTACCAACTTGTTTTTTTTGTTTGCAGTGCCCCCTAAATTTTTAGTTTATGACCTAAAAAAAATAAAAAAAATTATAAAAAAAATATTCATTTTAAACTGTGCCACAAAGACGATACATTTTCCGTTTAAATAACATGGGGTTTCGGCAAGTTTTTCATATATTTTTTTTTCTCTGAAGCAAGTTAAAATACAGCAAAAAATAATACATATTTTTATAGGAAATTGAACGCTGTACAAAAAACCTTTCCTATGTTTTTTTCATAAATTCACTGATTTAAAAGTTATTTAAGGTTAAAGTTAAACTTGTAGTAATTTTTTCGATTTTTTTATTTTGACTGCAAAATTATAATTATTTTTATAAAAATTAATTGTTTATTTTTGAAAATATGAGATTTTATTGTATTGAAAAAATAAAAATCATTAAAAAGAGATAATTAAAAATTATTGACAATTTTTTTTATTACGTTAAACGAATATGGTATTAGTTTTACTCAATTTTAGTACGATTACTTTTTTACATAATATTTTTATTTCTGTGAAATTCTACAAAATTTTATACGATTTTATAAAATATTATACAATAAAAAGTACAGCTAATGACGTAGAAATTCTTTTAACAATTATTTTTACGACAAAATAAAATTCGTAGTTACGCATACGTTGTCTTGAGTCTTGAGAGCAGACATTTCCGCTACACCAATTATCCTTTTCAAATAAGTTAAATGTATTTATCTACTCCTACATTGACGAGCTGTGACTTTATGGCGTTTTAGTCACGGGCTGAAGTTGGTAATAGTGGCTTTTGGGCATTTTAGTCACGGGCTGAACTTAGCTTTACTATAAATTAGAGAAAAAAGAGGTTAATTCCGTTGACATTTGACAGATGTCAAATGTTTAACAAATAAAATTGGATTTAAATTCTTCTTTGTGGTCGTCGTAGATAAAGTATAGTATGCAACTCGTTTTATAAACTTATCTAGACACTCGTTTTTATTAAACACTCGCTTGCAAGCTTCACTCGTGCTTAATAAAACTCGTAACTAAAATGGCGTTTATAAAACTTAATACATCATATACTATTATCTACTTCTACATTGACGAGCTGTGACTCTATGGCGATTTAGTCACGGGCTGAAGTTGGCAATAAGTAGTGGCTTTTGGGAATTTTAGTCACGGGCTGAAATTAGCTTTAAATTCTTTTTTGTGTTCGTCGTAGATAAAGTATACTTAGTAGGCAACTCGCTTAATAAACTTATCTAGACACTTGTTTTTAATAAGCTTCGCTCGTGCCTAATAAAACTCGTAACTAAAATGGCGTTTTGTAAAATTTCACAGAAATAAAAATATTATGTAAAAAAAGTAATAGTTCTAAATTTAAGTAAAACTAGTACCAGATTCCTTTAATGTAATAAACAATTTTTAATTTATCGGAAGTTCTTGTCAATAATTTTCACTTATCTCTTTTCAATAATTTTTATTTTTTCAATAATACATAAAATCACATATTTTCAAAAATTAACAATTTATTTTCATAAAAATAATGATAATTTTGCAGTCAAAGTAAAAAAGTCGAAAAAATTACTATTAGTTCAATTTTAACCTTAAATAACTTTTAAACCAGTGAATTTATCGAAAAATCATAGGAAAGTTTTTTTGTACAGCGTTCAATTTCCTATAAAAATATGTAAATATATACATATATATATTTATATAAATCACTTTTTGCTGTATTTTAACTTGCTTCAGAGAAAAAAAATATATGTAAAACTTGCCGAAACCCCATGTTATTTAAACGGAAAATGTATCGTCTTTGTGGCACGGTTTAAAATGAATATTTTTTTTTATAATTTTTTTTATAATTCTTTTTAGGTCATAAACTAAAAATTTAGGAGGAACTGCAAACAAAAAAACCAAGTTGGTAAATAACGGACACCCTACTATACACGCACAAAAACACTTATCAAGTAAGGTCTAAATAAAATTACCCCAATTGGATCCAAATAAATAATATAATATAATATAAGTCATTTGCCGGTCAACCGCTTAGTGATCGTTCATTAAGTACGTCACACGTTTAGGGGCAGGAGGGGGTCAATACTTTGTGACTTCGTGTGCTATTATACGTCTCATGGGGAGGGGATCCCTGCTTAAAATACCCCATAGAGACCTATACAAAATAATCTATCGGGCGCTACCGGATTCAATATGTGCATTTGTCCATGGGTTTTTCCGGATACAGCCCGATAGAAAATGTATAGGAAATTACCTATAGGCACACCATAACTTTTACATTTTCCCTATTGAGACCGATAGAAAATAACTCAATGAAGGATATACAGGGTGTTTCATAATATATGCGCAGGACTTCAGGATGTGATAGCTCATCCAAAAAGATGAAAAAAGTCGCTATTAACTTACCCTCTAAAATGCACAATTTTCGAGATACAGGGTGTTGAAATTTTAGAAAAAAAAAACGTTTTTTTAGATTATCTCTGGAACCGTTTATCGTACAAAAAACAGCTTTTGTAAGCATTTTGTACTCATAATAAGCTATGTTTTGTGGCAGAAAAAAATTTTTTTTACCCATAATTGGTGGAGATTTTGAAGGGGTAGCGGGTGTTTTTCTCCTCAACTTCAACGCCCCTGAAAAAAGTACGGTTTTGAGAGGCCCATTCGAACCGCCAATGCTTTCTACAGAAAAAAGGTACTCTTGGTCATAAGCTCTAAAGTTAACCGTTTTCGAGAAAAATCAACTTTTATGTTTAAAAACATGGTCAATTTTTTGAAAAAAAATTTTTATTACTAATTAAACAAAATTTATTTTAACGTTAGAAAAAGTAAAAAAACCAAACGATAATTGCAAAATTAAAAAAAAAATAAAAAATGATGTTTTACTCAATTGCTGAAATGTGCGAAATGCGTTACCTTTACGGTTTGGAGAATTAAGCAAAGACAACTTTTAAATCATTTTTTATTTTGCAATTATGGTTTGGTTTTGTTACTTGTCCTAACGTTAAAATAAATTTTGTTTAATTAGTAAAACAAAATATATATTTTTTAAATTGACCATGTTTTTAAACATAAAAGTTGATTTTTCTCGAAAACGGTCAACTTTAGAGCTTATGACCAGGAGTACCTTTTTTGTGTAGAAAACATTGGCGGTTCGAATGGGCCTCTCAAAACCGTACTTTTTTTAGGGGCGTAGAAGTTGAGGAGAAAAACACCCGCTACCCCTTCAAAATCTCCACCAATTATGAGGAAAAAAAAATTTTCTAGCACAAAACATAGCTTATTTTGAGTAGAAAATGCTTACAAAAGCTGTTTTTTGTACGATAAACGGTTCCGGAGATATTCAAAAAAAACGAATTTTTTTCTAAAATTTCAACACCCTGTATCTCGAAAATTGTGCATTTTAGAGCGTAACTTAATAGCGACTTTTTTCATCTTTTTGGATGAGCTATCACATCCTGAAGTCCTGCGCATATATTATGAAACACCCTGTATAGGGATATCCCTATAGAGCAACCATAAAACATTTGACAAAATTTTATTAAAACCTATGGGGTCCTATAGGGAAAAACCTAATTTCTACATTTATGTGTATTTTCCCCATTGAAACCAATAGCAAATAAATCAATGGTGGATATCCCTATAGAACAACCATAAATCTCAAGTATGGGTCCTATACAAACCGATACACCCTATAGAAACACCATACATCCCGATACAAATATCTATCGGTTTGAACAGGGTCTCTATGGGGTATTTTAAGCAGGGATCCAAAATCCTCTAAAAAGGTGTGACGTACTTTATGGACGACCCCTTACCACGTCCCATGGCATACATTATTTTTGCACATGGATGCAATACTTTATTTTTGGAAAAATCTGTAATGATTTTGATTTTTGTTACGAATTAAAATTGTATAATTATTTTTCAAAATGTCAATTTTGATTTTTAGAAATGTTAAGAAACGATAAAGTTTATATAAAACTTGTATAAAATCCATTGAAGTTTTTTTAAACTAAGATTAACAGCAAATTTTAGTAGTTTTTTTTATTACTTACTATTAATAATTATTAGGTGCGTATGGAGGTGGAGGACCTCTTCGTCGACCTGGCAGACGGAAAAAAACTACTAAAACTGCTGGAACTTATTTCTGGCGAAAAGTTACCGAAACCTAATAACGGAAGGATGCGGGTTCACAAGGTGGAGAACGTCAATAAAAGTTTAGCGTTCTTGCACACAAAAGTCCGATTGGAAAGTATAGGTGCCGAAGATATTGTCGACGGTAATCCCAGGTTGATCCTGGGGTTAATTTGGACCATCATCCTCCGTTTCCAGATCCAAGAAATTGAAATTGATGTGGTAAGTCCCCTTTTTATTTAGGCGTTAAATAAAAATGTTTTTAACTAGAGTTCCAACGCTGTTAATTTGATACCGAAACGTCATTGCTCGACAACGTTGGGCAATGCATAGTTGAAGACGTAGCGGTATCAAACTTACAGCGTTTGAACTCTACTCTATTGGGTTTGGGACATTTGTTTGCATATTTAAAATTCACGCATACGAGTTTGTTATTATTTTTTTACATTTCTTAAACAATTTTTGAGAACGCTACAGCGTTTTAAAAGACGCAAGATTCAAAACGCTTCGATAACCCGTGACGTCTTGATATTATAGCAGATGTGTCAAGAATAACAAATGAATTCAACATGTTTCCAGCACGGTCTTATTTTTCATCCGATCTTCATGATTTTTTTACTAGTTTTAAGATTGTTTTTTATCATTTTAATAACTTAAAATTTTTGTTTGGGTCATATTTTACAGGGGTTAATCAAAATGTTGTTTTTTGTCATAACTTTATAACACCCTGTGGAATCTTCTTGGCATTGAATGAATAAGGTTAATTATTTTTTCTTGAGGAATACCCAGATATTCTTCTCTCAGCGCCAGCCGTAACTCTTGCAAAGTTTGTGGTTGTAATAAGCGACGTCGAACAGCCCTTTTAAGTTCATCCCACAAATGTTCGATAGGGTTGATATCCGGGCTACATGCGGGCCATTCCAATCTTGGAAGACCAACCTCATCCAGATATTCGCTCACTGCCAGTGCAACGTGATGTCTAGCATTATCATGCATTAATATAAATTCGTTTCCAATGAAAGGAGCAAATGAAACGACAACTTCTTGAAGAATATCCTCAATGTAACGGTGGGCGGTTACAGTTCCATTATCAACAAATATAAAATCGGTACGTGCTTCGCTAGAAGTACCCATGATATGATATGATATGATATGGTGCAGTCGGTATATCTTTCATTTTTGCGTCTATGTACCCGCGACCATCCGGCGACCTTAAACAAACCCTGGATTTATCTTTGTATAGTACGTTTCCCCACTGTTCTACAGTCCAGTCAGAATGGGTTCTCAAATCTCAATCGCTGTTGTCGAGGAAGTAATTGTGGACATATTGCTGGCCTCCGTGAATGAAGCCCTGCTTCTGCCAATCTTCTAGGTATTGTTCTTTCACTTACATTTACTTGACGTACCTTTTACAAATTATTTTTTAGAGATACAGCAGTAGATCTCTAAAAGAACTAACAACGACGAAGCGATCATCAGCTGCAGCAGTTAATCTCCTTCTTGCAGAGCATTGCCGCCTAGAAAAGTTTCCTGTTTGTATATACCTATTCCAAGCATCTCGAACTGTAGACCGCGGAATTCCCAGATTACGAGCGACATAACTTTTACTTCGGCCATCCTCTATTAAGGCAACAATTCGACCCAAGTCTGCTGTAGTTAATATCATGATGACAACTCAGATTAATAATGTCAAACATTCTATCACAACAATCGCCCTCTTAGATTATTTTTAACCGATACAGTGAAATTGTCAGCGTTTCATTGAAAACCTTGCAGCTCGTACAATAAATGAAATAATGGGTTGAATCAAAAAACAGAAAGGTTTGGAATACATCTAAGATTACATCAAACAGTTTGTGAAAAAATTAACGGCCTCTATTTTCCCACACAAAAAACAACATTTTGATTTACCCCTGTATAATATCGCCTAAACAAAAATTGTTAGTTATTAAAATTATAAAAAAACAATAACAATAAATGTATCTACAAACTGGCAGAAAAATCATGAAAATCGGATAAAAACATCAAACTTGGCCAAAATTTTAGGGTGGCGGAATTTTGTGCCGGGGAGTGTATAAGACCTTGGTTTCTAGGTTAAGGGCGTTGTAATCATTTCAATTCAATAAGTCGTCTAAATTTAAACACCATTTAAGATTATTAAAAGCGTTGATTAAGAAAGTATCCACTTAACAGTAAAATACCAAGAACCGGTATTATAATATGTATTATATATAATATTATGTTGCCATAAATTCTTAGGTAAATTTTGTCGTTTAAAATGCAGTTGTCGGCGTTTTTTAAGGGACTCAAATATAAAAATATTTGATTTTAAGGTTATGTTTCTACCACAATTATTTTTTGTTAGATTTCTTAAAAATGTCCAAACTTAAATAAAAATTATATTAGGTAAAGTTATTATTAGTTAATTCTGCACCAACCAATATACGTACCGTATGGGATCCTTTGGCAAAACATGGAAATGCAACGATTTAGTTCTTGAATTTTATTTACACTTAAAAACACAATAATTCACCATGATCACTTAGATAAAATACACAAACTAACGTAAATATCATATAAGCGTTAAGCTTCATAATCAAAGATATAAGGAATCGATCGATTTCGAAATCTAGTACTAAACCAAATTTTTTTAGTTTTTACTTGCAACGCGAAACACAAATAACCTGCGCGATTTAGCTGTGCAATTGAATAAAATTTGTCAAGTAAGACTTCTGCCTTCCTCTCTTTTGTAAAAAGAACTACTTATTTAAAAATGATGTGCAGCTCGTATGCTTAAAATATTTAAAGCATATGTATTGTTGACAATTCTTGAATTTACACAATGCTATCAAACACCACCAGATAACGCGCGCGTTGCGAAAACTCGATGCTTCTTTACTAATGACGTTTCAAAAATATTTATTGAAAAACGATAAGACATATACGCTAAAGAATCTTTAGCGTATATGTCTTATCGTTTTTCAATAAATATTTTTGAAACGTCATTAGAAAAATATGTACCTATAATACTTTTATATTAATAAATATCCTTGAAGAATTAAAGTAAAGAAAATAAAATTTACTTTTTAAACCCTTATAAGTCGAAAAGTATTGCGTCGTTACGTTAGTGCGCCATTTTCGGGAACCCCTGTATAAGTATATAAAAAAATGTACCCTGGTTCAAGTTAAAATTTTATCTTCACAAAAAATGGATCATTAATACATAAATGACTGTTGGGTTGGGAATCTTTTTAGGTTCAAATACATTATAATAATACATGCAATTCTAGGACGAAGAAAACGAAAGTTCAGAAAAAAAATCAGCCAAAGATGCACTTCTGTTGTGGGCTCAACGTAAAACTCGTGGTTACCAAGGTGTTAACATCCAAGATTTTTCGTCTTCTTGGAGAAATGGTTTAGGCTTCAATGCTCTTATACATTCCCACAGACCAGATTTGTTCGAGTACGAAAAATTAATGCAAAACAAAAATATCGATAACCTAAATCATGCTTTCAACATGGCAAACGATGAATTAGGCATACCAAGCATTTTAGATGCTGAAGATATTGATAATACAAGACCTGATGAAAAGAGCATAATGACGTATGTAGCTTCATATTACCACACGTTCGCCAGGATGAAGAACGAAGAGAAATCTGGAAGAAGAATTGCCAAGATTATCCACAAATTGGCCGATTTGGATAAGAAAAAGATAAGCTACGACAGCCTTTTCACAAATCTCCTGGGATGGATACAAAAGAAGATTGTCGAATTGGAAGACAGGAACTTTCCGAATTCTATCGAAGGAATACAAACACTTATGGCTGAGTTTATGGTATATCGTACGAAAGAAAAACCTCCAAAATACAACGAATTAAGCGAAATTGAAGCTTTATATTTCAACATCAATACACAATTAAAGGAACTTAAGCAGGCAATGTTCAATCCAGCTGAAGGAAAGTTAGTCCAGGACATCGAGCGTGCTTGGGAACAACTGAAGAGGGCCGAGCATCGCCGAGAAGTCGATCTAAGAAACGAACTTCTCCGACAACAAAAACTTGAATTGCTTAATTTTAAATTTGATCAGAAACGTCTTCTTCGTGAAGGGTATTTAAAAGAAATGATGCAAGTACTTTCTGATCCCAGATATGGTTCGAACTTCACACAAGTGGAAGCAACTAAGAAAAAACACGAAGCTATAAGTACAGATATTTTGGAACGCGAGACGAGAATACACGATTTGTCGCAAATGGCCAAGGAATTAGAAAAGGAGAACTACAGAGACGCTGCAAGCGTCAAAATTAAAGAAGCTGAAATAATGAAGTTGTGGAATGCAATACGAGATCTATTAAATAAACATAAAGATAATTTAAATAGAATGTCTGGCATTATGATTCTTAATCGCGACATTGAAACTGCTTTAGCTAGTATTTTACATTTACGCAGCGATCTAAATTCAATAGATACTGGAAATCATTTAATAGCAGTTGAAGAATTGCTACACCGGCACGCATTACAGGAATTACAAATTTCATCGCTTGGCGAAACAGAGAAAAAATTAAAAAGACAAGCTGAACAGTTGAATACTGTTAATCCCAAAGAACAAGAAATAATTGAGAAAAATTTAAAAGAATTATCCAATGCATATGCAGATTTATGCAAAGCTGGCGCTATAAGGAAGGCGATTCTTGAGGAAGCAAGAAATTTCTATCAATTCTTACAAGATCAGGAAGACGAAGAGTCCTGGTTAATTGAAAAACAAAGAATATGTCAAGCTGGAATAACTGCTAAAGACTTAAGAGGTGTTCTGTCTCTACAACAAAAACATAAAGCATTGATGGATGAAATCAAGGCAAGAAAAAATAAGTACGACCAACTGGGAGCCACAGGAAAGCAACTTATAGGTGAAAAACATCCAAGATCCGCCGAAATCCACCAGCATTTAAACCAGATCATAAACGAATGGGAATTACTGGATAAGCTTGCAGATGAAAGAGCCAAGCAGTTACAAGACGCTGCAGAAGCATACGAATTCTATGCTGACGCTAACGAAGCTGACTCCTGGCTACACGAAAAAATCGCTATAGTACGATCCAGTGACTATGGCTCGGACGAACCCAGCGCACAGGCCCTGCTTCAGAGGCACAAAGACTTGGAGGGTGAGGTGAAAGCTTATGGTGAAGATGTCGACCGTTTGAATTCACAGGCAGAAAAATTGGTTGCTGCAGGCATTCCTAACTTATTTTTAAACCAGCAACCAGTATCAACAGAACCTGTGGAAGAGGTTACTTATGAAGAACGTTTAATACCTACAGAGGTATACGAAGATGTTCCCGTGGAAAAGGTGGAATATAAAATTATAAGAGAAGAGAAAAAAGTACCGCAGGTTAAGGCCTTATACCCATTTGATGATCATGGTTTTAGGATGTCAAAGGGCGAAGTAATGGTGCTTTTAAATAACAACAATCCTGACTGGTGGTGTGTTAGGAAACTGGACGGCACTTCGGAAGGATTTGCACCAGCTAATTACGTTCAAGTTATCGAACCGCGGGTTGTTTCTGTGCCAGTAAAGAAAGCAGAAACTATAAAAACCATACAGAGAAAGAAGGTGACAAAAATGGTTAAAACTAAGGTACCCATTAAGAAAATTAACCACCCAAGACAAGTCCAACGAAAAGTGGACGATAATGACAGTGTGCCCAAGAGGCAGACAAAAATTAATGACACCTACGATGAACTAAAAGTTCTTACAGATAAGAGACATTCACTCCTTGATGATGCTGTAAGGCTCTTTCAGTTCTACAAAGAATGCGACGACATTGAAAAATGGATTAAAGACAGCGAGAAACTTCTTTTTACTGATGATCCAGGCGATAACGTATTACAAGCAAAACGTAAATACGAAAAATTCCTTACAGACTTTTCCGGAAACAGCAAACGCATGGAAGAACTTGGAGCAAACGTAAAAGACTTTGAAAAACAGAACCATTCTCAAATCGATAAGGTTCATGCAAGGCACAGGCAGATACAGCAGGCCTGGAAACGACTAGAGAGGCTCAAGGAAACAAAAGAAAAAAGCCTGGAAGGTGCAAGCAGCGTAGAATTGTACAACAAACTATGCGATGAAGCTAAGGATTGGATGACAGAAAAAATGATGCAGTTGGATACTGAGGTGCTTGGTCATGATCTTAAGACAGTTCAGGCATTGCAAAGACGTCACGACAATCTGGAAAGGGAGTTGGCACCTGTAGAAGACAAGGTCAAGAAAGTTAAATTGTTAGCACAGCAAGTGCAATCTTCATATCCAAACGAAAAACAGAACGTTAAAAGAACAGAAAAACAAATTGATGACCTTTGGGATCAAGTTGTAAACAAAGCCATTGAACGCAGAGCTAGACTTGAAGATGCCGTTGGTCAGCAAATTTTTACCAATAGCTATAAAGATTTACTAAGGTGGGTTACCCATGTCAAGGAGCAACTTAACGCTGATAACATAGTAAGAGACGTACAAACGGCGGAAACTTTGCTTAAAAACCACCAAGATCTAAAACATGATATCAAAGCTAAAGACGATGAATTCAATCAGGTAGCAAGTCTAGGAAATAAGTTAATGAAAAATAATCCAAATATCACGGAAGTTCCTGAACATATAATGAGATTAAATGAAGAACAAGCAGCTATTGCCAGGGGTTGGAACGAAAAGGATAAATGGTTAAAACAATGCTTGCAGCTTCAGAAATTTAATAAGGAAGCTGACAAAATTGATGCTTCTACTTCAGCTGCACAAGCAGTTCTTGAGTATCCAGAATTAGGAAACTCTTTGGATGAAGTAGAAGTACTAGTTAAACAGCACAGAACCTTTATGAATACTTTGGCTGCACAAGATGAAAGAGTCAATGGTTTAAGTAAAACTGCGGATGCCTTAATTGCTGAAGAACATTACGAAACTAAAGGAATTGATAGTAAACGAAACCAAGTAATCAAAAAACGCGAAGCAGTTAAAGTAGCTGCCCAAAAACGTAACAATGCTTTGGATGCCTCTAAAAACTTCCAGGAATTCTGCGCAGAAGTCCACGATTTGCGGGTATGGATGGCAGATAAGCAAAAAACAGCGTCGGACGAAAGTTACCGAGATCTAGCAAACCTCGAACGAAAAATTCAGAAACATGAAGCTTTTGAAAGAGAACTCCGAGCCAACGAAGGTCAACTTAGAACTGTTAATAAGTTAGGCCAGGCTTTAATTGCCCAGGAGAGTTTTAAAAAAGACGAAGTAGCTAAAACGTTGCATGACTTAAACGACAAATGGCAAAAGTTGGCGAATATCTCCTTAGAAAAAGGTCGATGCCTAAGACAAGCGGAGATACAACAAAATTATAATAATGCCATCAGCGATGTGCAGAATAAATTAGAGGAAATTGAAGGGTTACTGAAAAGTGACGATGTTGGTAAAGATTTAAGATCATGCAGGGATTTATTAAATAGGCATGAACTATTGGAGGCGGATTTATCTCAGTGCAAAAAACGTATAGATGACTTGCTTGATAAAAGCAATGATTTGCGTGATGAAGGTCACTTTGATGCTGATGGAATAAACGAATTAGCTTTAGCAAGTCAACAAAGACTCTCAGACTTGGAAGATCCTGTGAACCATCGCAAAACACTTCTAAAAGAAGCTTTGAAGTTCTATGAATTTGGTTTCGCCTTAGATGCTGAATTACAGTGGATAAAAGAACACCTACCACAAGCTTCTTCGACAGAGTTTGGTAAAAATTTGCACCAAACTCAAAACTTGCATAAAAAACATATTAAACTTGAAGCTGAAATCGTTGGACATCGTCCTGTTATTCGAAACACTTTGGATCGAGGTGAAGATCTTATAAACCACAAACACCCTAACAAAAAGAATATTGCGGAACTATGCGCCACTTTAGAACAAGCATGGAAAGAGCTAGAAGATAAAGCAGCTGACAGATTGCAGAAATTAGATCTAGCCCTTAAAGCTCAACAATACTTCTTTGAAGCCAACGAAGTGGAATCGTGGCTAAACGAAAAAGACAATATAGTCGCCAGTACGGATTATGGTAGAGATAGAGACGCAGCTAGTAAACTTCTTACCAAACATAAAGCTATAGAACTAGAACTTGATACTTATAACAACATTGTATCCGAGATGGGTCACGGCGCTCAAGCCATGATAAAATCCGATCATCCAGATTCCAAACTTATCGGGGAGAGACAAAACAGCTTAGAGCATTTGGTTAGGAAGCTTCAAAAGAAAACAGCTGTGCGACAACATAGACTAATGGAGTCATTGTTCAGGCACGAGTACTTTGCTGAATCGGCTGAGCTAGAAAGATGGATTGCGGATAATTTGCAGCAAGCTTCATCTGAAGATTATGGACAGGATTATGAACATTTAATTGTAAGTATTTTTTATTCGTATTAAATGTAAATAATTTACAATATTATTTTAATATTTCTAGGTCCTTAAAACCAAATTTGAAGATTTTCAAAGACAGATTGAGGCAGGGCAGGATAGATTTAAGCAATGTGAAGATCTTGCTCAGAAACTGATTGATAATAAAAGCCCATATAGCAGTGACATTGAAGATGAACAACAACACTTAGAGTAAGTACTAAATTATTACAATATTTTATAATTTTCCTAAAACACTTTAATTTTCTCTTATGGTTTTGACGAAACGCATCTATTTTATTGCATTTTTAACTCAAATGAATGAATTGCAATTTGGTTTGGTACTAACTGTTTTAGCATGAACAATTCTTCCGAAGCTACCGAAGCAGTCTTGGCAAGGCATGAACAAATTCGGTAATGAGTTAAAATATTTGTTCCTAAATGTTTGTACCGTTTTTGCTTCCTTTAACAACATGCTATTTATAATTTGACCTAATTGTGCTCGTTCTATTTTTAACTATTTTATTCTCAAATTTTAGGGCGGCTTGGCAGAACTTACACGATCAAATGAATAAAAGGGATGCACAGCTTCAAGCAGCTGGTGAAATCCACCGATTTCACAGAGACGTTAATGATGCTCTACAAAGAATTCATGAAAAAAATGCCGCTTTAGGCACAGACTTGGGACGCGATCTTAACTCTGCCTTGGCTTTATTAAGAAAACATGAAGCTTTCGAAAATGAATTGGTTGTTCTTGAAGCACAGTTACAAGTACTTGTGGAGGATGCTTCAAAATTACAAAAGTTATATCCAAGCAATAAATCATCTATTCAAAAACAACAAGAAAATGTTGTTAATGATTGGGACATGTTGAAACAAAAATCCGACTTAAGAAAAGAAAAGCTACAAGCTAGCGTAGATGTGCAGAAGTTCCTTACCCAAGTGCGCGATTTAAAAAACTGGGCTCACAGTTTAAGATTGGACATGAGTGCTGAAGAACCAGTCAGAAGCGTAGCAAGAGTGCAACTATTAAAAAGCGAACACGAAGCTGTGAAAGGTGAAATTGAAGCTAGGGAAGCCAACTTTGAAGATCTTGCTAATAACTTAGAGGCCATGGAACAAACCGGTCACTACGCAGCTGCGGAAGCTGCTAAACGATATGAAATTCTCATTAAAGCAAGAGAAGATTTGCATACCGCCTGGCAGAGGAAAAAAATATATCTGGATCAGCTTTTGGATCTGCACGTTTTTTTAAGAGAGACGAAGCTCATAGAAGATGCTACAAATGTTCAAGAAACAACTTTAAACAAAACCGACTTTGGAGAAACTGTGGATGAAGTTACCAATCAACTTAAAAAACATGAAGAATTTGAAAAGCTTGTACAACTTCAGGACAGAAACGTTGATGTACTGGTACAAACTGGTAACAAACTACTTGGTCAAAATCACTTTGACAGCCAGACTATTGCAGATAAGCTTGTAGAAATACAGAAAAGAAGAAGGCATATTCACGATCTCTGCAAACGCAAACAAGAATTACTTATGGACAGCCTTTTGTACGCAGAATTTAATAGAGATGTGTCAGAAGCTAAAGTTTGGATTGCCGAAAAGCAGAAGAAACTTGAAGTGGATCTTAAGATCGGCGAAGTTAGTAATCTAGAAGACAAGATTAAGAAACTACAAAAACACCAAGCATTTCAAGCTGAAGTAAAAGCCAATACTTCTAGAATTGAGAAAATAATGTCAAGTGGTATAGAACTAGCCAACAAAAATCACCAGGAATCGCCAGAGATCGCCAAACAAGCGAAAGAACTTGACGTTGCCTGGAGACAGCTTTTGCAAGAAATGATGCTGAGAGGTAGAGGATTGGAAGAAGCCCAAGATATTCTTGAGTTCAACAACCAACTAGATAAACTGGAAACTTGGATAAGAGATAAGGAAGTCATGATTCAAGCTGGAGATACCGGCAAAGACTACGAACATTGTCAACAACTTCAAAGGAAATTGGATGACGACATGAAAATCGACGACACGCGTATTCAAGATATAAATGCTTTGGCTAATAAGCTTTCCAAACAGGGACACTCTGGAGTTACAGAACGAAGAGATAACTTCATTAAAAAATGGCAATCGCTGCAAGGAGCATTGGAAGACTACAGAAATAAATTAGCTGCGGCTTTAGATATCCACGTTTTTGACAGGGACATAGCTGATACGTCAGAAAGAATCGCAGAAAAACATGTTACATTAAGCTCTGAAGATGTTGGTAAAGATTTACCAGCGGTCGAAGGTTTATTAAGAAAGCAAGAAGCATTAGAAAGTGAAGTTAAAGCAGTGGAAGAAAAGATTATTCACGATCACCAGAAGAACGCTATTCTACTCAGCGAACAATATCCTGCAAATACAGATCATCTGCAAAGTAAACTTGAAAGTTTGTCTGATAACTGGAATAAATTAAAAATGGCCGAAGACCAACGCAAAAATGCCTTACGTAATGCTTATATTCACCATAAATTCCTAAGTGAAGTCGGCAAATTGGACCAATTTGTTGATGAAACAATTAAAAGAATGAACGCTAACCAAGACCCCAGAAATATATCCGAAGTTCAAGACCAACTAGAAGCTCACAATGAGCTAAGGGCCGAAATTGATGGTCGTAATCAAGCATTCAAAGAAGCAACTGAACATATCAAGAATTTCCCTGGTAAAAATCATCCGCAAATTTTGGAAAATATCGAGCACGTTCAGTCTCTACAAGAGAGGCTCGACGATGCCTGGCAACAAAGGAAGCAGGATTTGTCAAATCAATCGGACGTCCAGAGATTCAAAGATCAAGCAAATCAACTTAATGGACTGCTTGCGTCTAAGGAGGCTTTCCTTAACAACGACGATGTTGGTGATACACCTAGAAATGTAGAAATATTGCTTAGAAAACATGAAGATTTTGAAAATACCACCAAGCAACAGTTGTCAAAAGTAAAAGATCTAGAACAAGAAGCCAAGAAAATAATAGAACGCGATAGCAATTCACATGAAGTGCTATCTAAATTACAGTCGATACTTAACAGAAAGAATAAATTGTTGGAAAAATCAGAAAATCGTAAGGAAATTCTAAAGAAATCGAAGGCCCTGCAAGAGTTTTTGAGAAACCTCAACGAAATCCAATCTTGGATTGACCAAAAGCTACAAATTGCTGGCGATGAGAACTATAGAGAACCAACAAACTTGCAAAGTAAGATACAAAAACATGCTACTTTTGAAGCTGAAGTTTTTGCTAGCGGCGAACGCATACAAAACGTGGTCGAGGAAGGTAAAGAGTTAATAGGATGCAAACACTACGCATCTGATGATATCGCACTACAGCTAGATGATCTAGAAAACGATTGGAAACATCTTCAAGAATTATCAAATTTGAAGAGAGATAGGTTAAATGAAGCCCATCAAGCTCTTCTAATCAACAGAACTATAGGTAAAATATATATATAATAATATTTTAACTGACTTACTAACTGTCTATTTTATATTATTATTTTAGATGAGTTTGAGACATGGTTAGATGATATTGAAGAACATGCCAAGTCAACAGATACAGGAAAAGACTTACCAAGCGCAAACAACTTATTAAAACGTCACCAAGCAATCGAAAAAAATTTCCATCAACATAGCGAAAACTGCGAAGCTATAAACGAAGCTTCAGAGCAATTCACTAAGAGCGGACACTTTATGAGCGAGGAAATCAAGGACAGGTCACACAGCTGCACCAGCCGTTATGATCAACTGAAGAGTCCGTTAATATCAAAAAGGGACGATTTGGAGTATTCAGTGATTCTTCAGCAGCTTATAAGGGATATCGATGATGAACTTCAATGGTTAGATGATAGGGAACCACTTGCAGCATCGAAGGATCTCGGAAAAACACTGTCTTCTGTCCAAATATTAAAAAAGAAACACCAGGCTCTTGAAGCGGAGTTGGCTTCTAGACAATCCATCATTACCTCGTTAATTAAGAGAGCAAATAATGTGGTAAGAAGTCCAAATGCAGGGTCTGAGATCGTGAACAGCAAAACAGTTGAAATCAAGGAGAAATTTGCCAATATTTCTGATTTGGCCAGCATTAGAAGATTGAGATTACAAGATTCTTTGGAAGCACAAACGGTAATAATATTGTCGAATTATAAATACCCATTTTTTTCATATTTTATATATTTTTTCAGTTCTACCAAGAAGTGTCTGAAGCTGAAGCATGGATTAACGATAAATATCCACTTTTAGTCAGCAAAGAAGTAGGCAAAGATGAAACAACGGCTCAATCTCTAAAAAGGAAACTACAAGGAGTTTTTTTGGAGTTACAAGGCTTCAAGCCAACAATCGATAAAATTAACAAAGTTGCGGATAATTTAATAGAACGTGAACACTTTGACGTCAAAAATATCGAAGCTAAGAAAAACGAGGTTGTAAAACAGTTTGCAACCTTAAGCAAGCTTGTAACTGAAAGGGAAGTAAGACTTTCTGAAGCTTTACAATACTTTGGGTTCGTACAAGAGTATAACGAACTTCAAGAATGGATGAAGGATCAACAAATTAAAACCGACTCTGATGATTATGGTAACGACTTGGAGCATGTGGAATTGTTAATTCAAGCATTTGAAACGTTCTACACCAGCTTTGCCAACAGTGAACCAAGAATACAATCTTGCGTTGAAAATGGAAACATCATTATGGAATCTAAGAGCAGCTACAGTCCGGATGTTAAAGCTAAAGTTGAAGAGGTTAAGTTGGCCTGGAAAGATTTATGTGAGTTGGTGGCAGCTAGAAGAGAGGCTTTGGCAGGCGCCAAAAAGGTACATTTGTTTGATAGAACAGCAGAAGAAATAATATCATGGATTGAAGAAAAAGTTACTGAAGTAAACTACAATAACTACGACTTGGATTCTGAAGCTGTTGCGCAGAATATCAGAAGGCATCAAGCATTAGAAAACGAAATGAAGATAATAAGAGATAAGATAGAGAGCATCAAACAAGATGCAGATCGATTAATAGAGGAATTCCCTGATACCAAAGACCATATCGACGATAAAGTTCTTACAACAGAACAAGCTTGGGAAGATTTGACTAAAACAGCGGAACACAGGAAAAACCATTTATTTGTTGCAGAACAATTGCAATCTTACTTTGATAAATATCACGACTTATTGGCCTTTATAAACGAAATGCTGGCTAAGATTACAGCTCCAGATTTACCCCAAGAAATATCAGAAGCAACTTTACTTATTGACTTGCACAATGAATACAAAATTGAAATTGACAGGAAACATCCGGAATTCCAGAAATTCTATGCTGATGGTGAAACATTAGTGAAAGAGTCGCATATATTTTCGAATGATATAAAGGACAAAATAGCCGTTCTAATAAATAGAATGGAAATTCTTTATAATATTTGGCAGCAAAGATACATAATTTATGACCAAAACTTAGATGTAGTACAGTTTAAGAGTGAAGCCAACGCTTTAGACAACTGGTTAGCAGTTAGAGAGGAAACCTTGAAAGAAAACACAGTTGGCGAAAATATATTACATGTTGAGGATTTAATTAGGAAACATGGCGATTTTGAGGAAACAATTAAAGCGCAAGAGGAAAAATTCGAGAACCTCAAAAGAAGAACTAAAGTGGAAGAAGCATTCGCGCAGCAATTACGCAGAGAAAACTTGGCTAGAAAAGTTGAAAAGGAAAGGGTTGAACAGGAACGTATTGAGACTAGGAAAAGAATGGAGATGCAGCGAATTGCCGAGCAAAGGACGAAGGAGCAATACAAAGCACCAAAGGAAACGCCAGAGGAAAGAGTCAATGGCAACCATCACAAACCCTACGTCCCGGCCAATGATATACCATCAGCTCCAAGTGTAAGAAAAACAAACTCCATTAATTCCTTTGATAGAGAGAAGACGAGACGTGGTACCGAACACACAGTCAAACGGGCCGAAAGTATGCGGGTCGCACCTGCTGGTAGACCACCAAAGAGAACTCCCTCGTTCAATACCAGGCGAAGAGGCTCTAAGGTGGCTGAGAATATATCATCCTTCCAACCAATTTTACAAGTGGAAGTGGAAAACTTTCTGGACAGAAAGCAACTGCTAACCTCAGGGGGTAAAAAATCTTCCAGTAGAACATGGAAGAACTCCTACGCAGTACTTTGCGGGCAACTTCTTTGCTTCTTTAAGAATAAAGATGATTTCCTAGCTAAAAAGGCAACGTGCCCGCCCATTAATATCCATAATTCCATGTGTTCCGTCGCGGACGATTATCATAAAAGGAAACACACGTTTAGGCTGCACGTTACCGATGATTCCGAGTATTTGTTTGCTTGCTCTACCGAGCCAGAAATGTGGGAATGGATTAATAAAATCAAGTTTAGAGCGCGGTTAGACCCTAGTCAACAGTTAATTAGTTTTGACATTTCTAAGGTAAGCAATTGCTGACTTATTTTAAACACTTTGGCCTAAGTAATCTATTGGATATATAAAAATAATATGTTTTATTATAGGATCATGAATTTGAAATAAGTTCACAATCAAGTAGAACTTCCAGCCCAGATGTAGTAGATACTGTCACTTTAAGACATGATCCAACATTTACAAATGGAAGTGCCTCATCAGGTTCGAGTAGACACACACTGGGTAAGTAGGGGCAACATTTTCTCCAATTAATTTAAGTATAATTTTCTTAAACATGGGAAATTGTTTTTTCTTTTACCTTGATTTAACAATATCACTAATAAAAATTGTACATTATTAAGAGTAACTTTTCATTTTTCAATGGTAACAAAAAACAATTTACTAACAATCACTGTATTAACTTGACAACATATTTCTGATGAAACTGATGTGGACCTGCATAATAATCATATTTTTGGTGTATAAATTTAGGCGAAAGTCCACCACCGTTACCAATATCGGATCCTCCAACAAATAATTACGCAAGTCGTCCTTATAGCGTCGAGTCGAGTGGACATTTTTATGGTTAGTTAGCATGCTGGAAACTTTACGAAAACAACTAATCACACACGTTTTATAACTAACTCACTTTTTTTCTTGCAGCACTTTCTTATCGCTACCAATTATCTTATCCTAAACCATGGTATCTTAAAAAATATCTCACATATTATATGCCGCGTTTCGAAAAACGGTTCTTTAGCGGACCTTTCTTTTAAGTGCAACATTTTTTTAACCTCGGTTATAGATAAGAAAATTGGTAAATAGGTATACTTAACCACAATTTCTTTATCTAAGTTAACCCCTTAAAAACTCGTTTTAGTAATAGTTAAATATTAAAATTATTATTTTTTAGATTCTACATATTCCCCTCAAAAGTATGATAACAACCACAGAAATTCTGATCCACAATCAGAGAAAAAATTCTTAAATAGGTTCTTTGGAAACAAGAAACGTTCTTCCAATATGTAGATACTAGTTTTTTTAGTTTTTTTTAAGTTATTACTCCTATATATCCATTAGTTTTATTGATTGTAATAATTTTGTATATAAATATATTTCCTTTTTAATTTGTATTGCTACATATCTTATATATTTATTTCTGTTAATAAATAAATAATTATCAATAAACCACCTTGGTATTTTTAATGGTGTTTTATTTTCTACCCCCATATTTAGGGATGATAAGGCTTTTGTAATGACAAGATATTTAATGCAAAAAATACTATTTAATGACAAATTCTAAAGGTTTAAAAAGTTTGTTCTTTCATTAAGAATGGTCATTAGTATTTTTGTGTGAACCTATACATTTTTTTACGTTTTACAGGGTATCTGGTAAATTAATAATAACTTAAAACTATAAACGAATGTATAGCGGAAGACTAGATATCTTAATCAACGGTTAAATTAAATGATTTTAAACCAATTCGTTTAATTTGACCGTTGATTAATGATCACTTAACTATTTAACTTTACCCAAAGTTCCTTTGTTTGGGCGCCATAGGGCCAATATTTATATAGTGTATATACACGTGTATTAGGGGTGGGAAACTATCGATGCAAACATCGATGTATCGATAGTTTTCGAATGAAAACCGCACTAGCGATAGTTTTATAAATACTATCGATAGTTCTTGTTAAATATTTTAGGCAAAATTCCCTGAAAAAGTAGAGAAAACATACAGGTTGGCAACACTGATTGACAGACAATTCTCTAGACAACAGCTCAGTGTTCTTTGCAACAGCTTTTGTCATGTCATGTGTGTTATATAATATAACATATTATGTTACCGCTGTGGCTCCCGTCCCGAGGCGGGACTTAAGTTCAGTCCCGATTGACGTCATAATTTTAAGATTTGTTATGTTATAATAAAATAATAATAATAAATTGTACCTGTATACATGTTAAGGGCACTTTAGTTACGTCATAAAACCAAACCAACCCAAACTCAACAACACAACCCAACCGACCCCGCCCCATTGGCCCCCCCCCGCCCCATTGAGCAAAAAACCCAACTAAAATGGGCAAATTTATGTTACGATAAAAATAAAACACTCTTTAACAAAGAAACAACAAATTTATAAAATAAAAAAAATAAAAAAAGTTTGACAACTTCTAGTGGGATCGAACCCGGTACCTCTCGCATGACAAGCGACCAAATTCAAATTCAAATTCAAAAATATTTATTCATATTATTGTAAATTATAATAATTGTATAAGTAATTTCAAGTATATAAAAAGTGTATAGATAAAATGAACAAAACAAATGTGCCTGGCACGTAATGTTCATCATAAAGGAGGCCACTATATGTGCGTTGTAATGCAATATAGCAACCCCCCTGGCCGATGTTTTGGCCTACCTGAAACAGTGATACAATTTTGAATTTTCACGCAGCTCGCCATTCCCTTCGCTCGACCGATACAGGGGCAATATTGTTAAGATGTTTTGTGTGTAAAAATTGAGGACTGTCAGATTATGCTTTTTATAATTTTTATAAATGACACAGTGAATGCACAGTGTGCAGACCTAAGTTTTAAAAATTGTACTTCTTTTGCTAATAAAGCTATCGACATTAAACAAACTGTTAATTGTTAAGAAAATATTTCTCTTTTAAACCATACAAGCGACCGCCCTACCATCTAAGCCATCGAGCTTGACACAAATTAAAAAATCTCGGGGAATAAAAACGGATTTACAGTGTGTGACGTCAATCGGGACTGAACTTAAGTCCCGCCTCGGGACGGGAGCCACATCGTTATGTTACCGGCAATGTGCGAAATGTCTAGATACTCTGCAAAATGACCAAATTACCGGACATTGTGCAAAATTACTTCCATTTTGGGCAATCTGCAAATTTACTACGCTATTTAAGGCAATTTGCAAAATGTCTGATGGGTAAATCCATTTATTAGCCACCAATAAGTGCACCTTATATCCTCTAATTTTATTTCTTTTTAACTGTAAATAGACAAGGACCCAAGAAGTAAATAAAACTCACTGTCATTTCTCCTGCACTGCACAGTAACTTTTGCATAGCCCTGTATAAATACGGGAAGTGGGAAGAAATGACACAGTGAATGCACAGTGTGCAGACCTAAGTTTTAAAAATTGTACTTCTTTTGCTAATAAAGCTATCGACATTAAACAAACTGTTAATTGTTAAGAAAATATTTCTCTTTTAAACCATATAGAACACATTTAGTTATTGATGCCCTAAATGGTCTTTGGGAATTTTTTTTTAAATGCAATTTTTTGGAAAAATTGTCTACTTTTATTAATTCATATATTAATATTTTTTGAAAACATGAATTTTAAATATATTTCTTTGAACTCTAAGCCGACTTTATTTGAAAATGTTTTCATTGCTTTTAAATAGAGTAAGATCTTTAACAAACTCCATTAAAAAAATTTGCTGGCAAGTTGTTCTAAGAATTCTTAGAACAACTTGCCAGCAAATTTTTTTAATGGAGTTTGTTAAAGATCTTACTCTATTTAAAAGCAATGAAAACATTTTCAAATAAAGTCGGCTTAGAGTTCAAAGAAATATATTTAAAATTCATGTTTTCAAAAAATCACTATTTTCAGCCATTTCAAGTTTTAACAAGGCCATGTTTGAGTGAGTCGATTTAAACCAATTTATGCACTTATTAGCCTCCAATAACCATGAATAAAATTATTGTGTATTTTGCTATAAGCAAAATACACAATATGCCCACCTGACTAAATCCATAATATCCGTGCTGAAAATGATGGATGATTGCGGATATAAATTCTTCGTCAAAACCGGATAAAAGCAGATGATTGCGGGTATAAATTCTTCGCCGAAGCCGGATAAAAGCAGATAAAAGCGGGTAAAAATATCATTTGATAACATCTGCTTTTGTCCGCATCGCTATATCCGCGAACACCCGGTTGGTTGTGTTTTATGTCCGGTTAGTGCACCCCCGCAATCATCTGAAATCATCTGTTTTTAACCGTCTTCACTGTGTTTCGTTTATATCTGAATTTGTCCGGAATTATCTGCAAACGTCTGGTTTTATCCGCGATTACCTGCATTTTTTTTCTTTTTTTGTCTGGTTTTATCTGAAAACGTCTGGTTTTATCCGCGAGCATATGCTTTTACCCGCAAACGTCTGCCTAGTCTAATTTCACCCGCCAACATATGCTTTTACCCGCCAACATCTGCTTTTATCCGCGATCATCTGCTTTCATCCGCGAACATCTGCAATCACCCGCGAACAACTGCCTTTATCCGCGAACATCTGCAATCACCCGCGAACATCTGCTTTCATCCGCGAACATCTCATTTTATTCGCGAACATCTGCAATCATCCGCGAACATCTGCTTTCATTCGCTAACACCTGCTTTTATCCGGCTTTTATCCGCAAACATCTCATTTTATCCGCGAACATCTGCTTTTATCCGCAAACATCTGCTTTCATCCGCAAACATTTGATTTTATCCGCAAACATCTCATTTTATCCGCAAACATCTCATTTTATCCGCGAACATCTGCTTTCATAGTATGAAATTCATACGGTTTCACCCGCAAACTTGCTTTTATCTGCAAACATCTGATTTTATCCGCAAACATCTGCTTTTATCGGCAAACATCTGCTTTTGTCCGCAAACATCGGATTTTATACGCAAACATCTGCTTTTATCCGCAAACATCTGCTTTTATCCGCAAACATCGGATTTTATTCGCAAACATCTGATTTTAATCGCAAACATCTGATTTTATCCGCAAACATCTGCATTTATCCGCAAATATCTGCTTTTATCCGCGAACATCTGCAAACATCTGCTTTTAATTGCAAACCTCTGCTTTCATCCGCCTTCGTTTTGCCTGCATTTCCTTTGTCCATTTCGGTCCTGTTTCGTATGCAAACGTCTGGTTTCATTCGCGCTTTTTGTTTTAAAAAGGAATTCCTTTTTCTCATGTATACTTCAGTTTAGTTTACCTGCTTTGTCAAATTTTACTGAGCTTTAACTAACTGGTTGTTAGCCGTTCAAGGCACACAACTTTATAACTCTAAAAGGAATTATTTGAATAAAAACAACCTGTAAATGAAATGAGTTTTTTCAACACGACATTTTCCCAATGGGAAAATAATTTAATTATATATAATTTAAATCTGGTGAATATATTCACCTGATTTAAATTTAAAAATCAGGTATACCACAGAAATAATAATAAGTCTATTAATTCTTACATATATATTAAAATTATTGGTTATGCCAAAATTAAAAAGTTTATAAAGTTAGATGAAAAATTCTACGCCAAAATAAGTGTTTTTCAAACAAATTCCATACAAATTGAAGATGTTATAATTCCAAATGTATTTGAAATTAAACATATATGTTTTCTAACAATTAATTTAAATGTAAGCTTAATAATTAAAAAATGTCTATTTATGTATTTTACCAAATAATATTGAAGTTCAATAAACTTATTTCCTTTACAGGTTGTTTTTATTCAAAAAATTTCTTTCAGAGTTATAAAGTTGTGTGCCGTGAACGGCTAACAACCAATTAGTTTAAGCTCAGAAAAATTTGACAAAGCAAGTAAACTAAACTAAAGTATACACGAGAAAAAGGAAAACAAAAAGCGCGAATGAAACCAGACGTTTGCGTACGAAACAGGACCGAAATGGACAAAGAAAATGCAGGCAAACCGAACGCGGATGAAAGCAGAGGTTTGCAGATGTTCGCGGATAAAAGCAGATATTTGCGGATAAATGCAGATGTTTGCGGATAAAATCAGATGTTTGCGGATAAAAGCAGATGTTTGCGGATAAAAGCAGATGTTTGCGGATAGAATCAGATGTTTGCGGATAGAATCAGATGTTTGCGGATTAAAGGAGGCGTTCGCGGATAAATGCAGATTTTGCGGATATAAGCAGATGTTTGCAGGTGAAATCGGATGAAGCAGACTTTTGCGGACTAAAGTAGATGTTTGCGGATGAAATCAGATGTTCGCGGATGAAAGTAGGTCTTCACGTATAAAAGCAGATGTTTGCAGGTGAAATCGGATAAAGCAGACGTTTGCGGATTAAAGTAGATGTTTCCGGATAAA